CTTTGGCTTTGGGTCCAGTCCTATTCTATTCTTTTCTTTTGTATATATGGTGTGCGTTTCTGTTAACATTGTACTTGATAATTGGCATGTAACAAGCAACACTATGTCTGTGCGTTTATAGAATTCCCACGTTCTTGAGTTACGACAGTATATATATATAACTTTGTGATTTGGATATATAGATTCAGCAAGATGCTTTTTCAAAAGTCAAAATAATCACCAGTTAGTCAAAAGTCAAAACCAATAAGATACTAAACTTGAATTTCTTTCCAGTTGAGTTAGTGGATGACCGCTCCGCACCCCTACTACTGCCGCTATTCGATTGGTAAATCCTTGCACGACACCTGTGCAGGGCCAGCAATGTATATATATATGCTTTTTATTATGGGATTAGATAAGTAAAAACAAATGCATGCATTTGTTTTTACTTATCTAATCCCATAATAAAAAGCACGATAAAATAATTCCAAGTAAGGGAAATATAAACCTCATAATCATCTTCAAGAAATTAAACCGTGTTACCCGCTATTTGGCCTCCTCACTAGCTCCATCCAGTAATCTTCTTAGTCGCGTCCTTGGTGATCTTGTCGTACGTGGGCTGTGTCAAAACAAACAAGAATAAGTTAGTATTTATCATGTGTATTTATGTTGGGAAATCAAAGTCAAAACTTTTTCCTGCCAATGCCATTGCTGCCTTCCCGGCTGTTGGCGTGCAGCTTGTCCGCCTCTGCCTCTGCCTCGGCCTTGTTGGCGTCCTCCAACATTCATTATAACTAGGGTACTGGGAGGGGAAGTAGAGTGAGAAACTCGTGTTTTGGAGGAGAACAGAGAAAGGAAGGGTCTTCTTATTCTTGTTGCATAGGACGAGAAACCCAGCAAAGTGATGAAATATATGTTCGGCTTTGGAGCTCATTGGATCTGTGGAAAAGTTCATACACAAGGTTGGATTGGCTGGGAAGTGGGATTAGGGGTGGGAGGAAAAACCAAAAAAAGACGTTGGTTTTATAATCTGCTTGGTGCAGCGAGCACAAGTAAAGTAGCCAGAGAGGGCAGGGATAAAATAGAAAAATAGATTGACACTTGTCAAATGATTAGAGGCTGAGAAAGCACTCTCAGATTGCCAACGTATTCATGAGTCAAGAAAAAAAAGGTTTCAAACCCGCAGTGTCTTTATTAAGGCAAGACGGCAAATCAATTACTACGCTCAAATTATTGATTAATTTGTTTCCATTTAATCCATAATGTTTCTTGTACAAACTAGTCCACACGATGGAAGATCTCCAATAAGAAAAACATAATGGAAGATCTTATTAAGAAACATTCATTCCATCCAAAACAAAAAAAAGTTCATAACTGTATTCTTCACCCTAGTCTCATCGCCCATTTTTTCAACTAGTAATATTATTAACCTTAAACCAGATATCAGTTCGATTTCCGTTAAAATTGAACCGATAAAATGCTCTTTTAGGTTTCTGGTATCGGATAAAATTGTTTTGATTTTTGAACCTATCTCTTTTGGTTCCAGTTAAAATAAAATAAAAAATCATTAAGAAACCAAAAACCACAACTTCAATACCCAACCACCCATTATGACATATGTTCGGTTTTTGTTCATTGAAAAGAAACCAAACTAAGAGACCTTGATGATTTTCGGCTAACTGAAATCGTCAACCTCCTTAAGGTTTCATTTCAAGGAAAGAGCATGTTTGGGTATTCGATTACAGAATTTTGGTTCGTTTAAACTGAATCGATCCCCCACCCATGTCCTTGAACAAGTATTTTGGCATAACTAGCACAGGACCCGGCCCGTTGGCCGGAAGAATTTTATCGAGAAATATGATATATGATAATAGATATATAATAGAGGATTTTAAATGCACAAAATGATTGTTTTCTAACTTAGTTATCCACGTAACATTTTTAAAAGTGATCCAACTATGCATAATATGTCTAGACCTCCATGGAAAGAGAAAAATATAATATAAGCATTACTAATAATTATTGAATGAAAAAAGAAATAAATATAACTAATTGTCATCCATTACTTAATTAAACCATATAATTGAATATTAGAGTTGTTTCTCATAATACATACATAATCAACCTTTAAGATGAAAGAAAATGTCTCTCATAGAGTTTAGTATGTCCTTTAAGTTTTTCCCAATAGAGAGTATTCTTTTTTACCACACCATTGGTAATGAATCTGAAGTTGCTTGATTTGAAATATATAGGACATGATGCTAAATTGTCGCTAATAGTTGGTTGGAGAATGTGTTGTGTATGGATTTCCAAAATTATTCTTAGATCGCAGACATGTTTAACAACAATGTAGTAATTTTCATGCAGCAAATATTTTTTTCATAAAATAATTCAATAAATAAAAACCTATAAAATCATATTACATGAAATATATAGTACTCATTAAGTTGATGAATGAGCAAGGGTATAAGTAACATACATCTATTTTAAAAATATAGAAGTTGCAAAGTGTCTTTTGGGTCGAATGAGATCGCATATTCTCATTATCGCTAACTGACTTATGTTTTTTTGCAATAGATAGTTCAAAATGTGCCTTAAAATTTCTGTCTCCACAAGTGTAAAAGAATTGTTTGAACCAAATGATTACAATAGTATAAAAAAATTTGACAGCAGAGTATTTTATACTGAAATCATAATTTAACTGTGGTTCAACCATTTCATATTTCTAAATATCACCTATCGATTTAGCCTATGGTGTGAAGTTTTATGGTCGAACCGCCAGTATGTAGATCCTTTCAATTCAAACTTTAAATAAAAAAACCACTAAAATATTAACATGATCAAATACCCTTAAATATAATAAATTACCATAATCGTATTAAGGAAAAAATCATCCAAATGATAATACTGATTTAGGATTTTATGGGGTCATTTGGAAGTTGCGATTGTTAAATAGATATTGTGTTGTGAATGCATGTATAATATTATATATGTATAATGTATTGTCGGATTAGATGCATTGTGTATGTCACATAAGCTAAAAGCTTAGACAAAACAATCTCAACTATCTCAACAATAACAACTAAAATTTGAGATTTAACAATACTCATTTTGATTGATAGTTTCGGTCACATCACAGTTGTAATCCATGTATTAGTTCTACTACAAAATATAAAAAATGATGAATTCTAAATAATACATGTATAGTAAATCTCAACAAAACAATCACAACTTTCAAACGACCCCTTAATCAAAATGAAAAAAAATCTATCAAATATAATGTCATCTCCTAAAATAAATCAATACTCAACAGGGCAAAGAATACCCACTAAGCAAAGCAGAAGGGCAATTATTTCACACTACCTCATTCCCCCCCCCCCCCCTCCTCGTTTAAATATGTTCTTTCACTCTCTCTTATGCCTCGTTCACTTGCTATTTTGTTTTCTGTTTTCTGCTGTGACAACAAAAATAAAAAAACAAATTGTAAGAAATGTGTTCACTTGAAATTTCATTATAGTTGGAAAAAATCATGGGGAATAAAAGAGGCAGTTGGGCGGAAACAATAAAACATCCTTTGCTGGAAAATGAGAGATGAATTTCCTCCCGTTGCCCATTTGGTTATGCCCCCATTCCTTTTAATGAGCCTAGCGTTCGAATCCCTTTGCCACATTTTTTTCCCTTTTGTTCACTTAGACCAACGACGTCATTTTGCTAACCCCAGCTCCCATCGTTCTTCTCCCAGCCTCCCCCAAACTCGACCTCCCCATCGAACGAAGCTGCTACAGTTTGCCTCTTCTTCCTCTAGCGGAGGGAGAGAAGATCGATCCGACGAACTCCTTCTCTAGTCGGCGAAGCTCCAGCGGTGAAGGACGGGTTTGTTTTGAGATGCCAGCAGGTATTACCCTTCCACCGCTAAGTTAATCATTCTCAAAGGCTTAGATCCTCGAGGTCATATCAACAGAGGTGTGGATTAGGATGGATGAGACAGTGATGGCTACACTTGCCCAGCGGGTCGTCGATAATCCTCTTTGTTTTTTCATTTGTTTTTCCATCTCTCTCTCTCTCTCTCTCTCTCTCTCTCTCTCTCTCTTTGAGCTTTTTATCTCACCACTCTCACCACTGTATAGGGTTGATCCATATACATTGTCTTCATGGTATGCTCTAACTTTGTCATGCTAGCTCGATTATGTGTCTGCGTATAGTTACATGCATTCTAATAATTAAGTTTTTACCTATTCACAACACCAAGATAAAAACAATCATAAATGCCACCGATGCCACAAATAATAAGTATATCTCTAAATCATACATAAAATATTTCAAACATCACAAATATTAAGATTAAATTAATTATTATAAAGAGTAAAAGTTATATAATGAGGTTAATTATAACTCATTTATATGTTAATGCCCTTAAATTGATCAACACACCCAAAAATGGCAAAATGAACATCACATTAAACCTAATATCTTCTCATTATTGCCGGATCCATTCATGCCAGATTAGCAAGAGGTTTAATGTTTAGCAATTAACCAGACTGAAATTTTAGAGAACCAGTCACATATAGTTTGTACAAAATATTATTGCTTCGTAGTAGTTCTGTAAATTTATATTAATTAAAGAATTCTACATCTTTGTTGCATATTCAATACTGCAATTCGATATGCAATTCAAAAATTGAAATTTGTGTTACAATTTTAAGATTACTCGTCATTTTATAGATTATAAAAAATTATAAATCACGTATTAAACTTTGTCTTTTTAGAATATTTAATAGGCTAGCTAATCGTGACGGCGTGATGGAAAGTTCCTATGCTTTTCAAATCTTCGCTAAGTGTATGCTTACATTTCAAGAAGATAAAACAAATTTTGTTTAGTGTAATTGGTTGTGATTGTTTTTTTTAGGAGACCATGGTTAAAATCTAGATGTTAATACTTTTTTATAAGAAGAAGATAAATAATTGCGATAAAAAAATACTCTTCCTACTTTCAGTCTCGTTTCACGAAATTGGAAATGAAAAATCTTAAAACATTTTTTTTAATTTATGAGTGATATCAATGGAAGAAAATAGTTTAACTTACAATTCTACCGAGGACCCCTAACAGATTCTAAAGAAGCCACCCCAAAAAATCAAAAGATTCTAGCTCTACACGAGACTAAACCAGTGCTTTACGCGCCACTCTATGGGCAGCATTGTTGGCGGATTTATATATGTACCGCCCTAAACTCTATACAAACAGACAAAGAGCTAAGGATCTGAAGACACTCTCGTAAGACCAGAATACCAATTGAGACTTCAAAGACATCTTGACGGACTTGGTAGACCACCACTTCGGAATCACCTTCGACTATCACGTGGGTCAAGGATCTTGAGGCTACGATGGAAATGGCGTCTCTAAAAGCTAGAAGCTCTGCCAGATAAGGATAGATATTCCTTGAAGCTGCAGCCCGAGCGCCAACACCACATGCCCGTCTGACCCACGAATAACAAGCCCAGACGAACAACTGGCGGCACAAACAGCTGCGTCTACGTTGATCTTCAAAAAGACTTCTGGTGGGTCCTGGGGGACCCAAGTGGTGGCAGGATGAATTGGGATTAGAGAGCTGCGGGGCGGAGGAGGAGGAAGAAGATTGGAGAATTCGAGTACCTGGTTGTAGAACTGTCTGGCTAGGGAACGGACATGGGGTTGGAAAAATTCGAAGGTCACTTTATTTCTAGACTTCCAGATTCTCCAAAGTAAACAGACGCATTGGAGAATGTGGAATTGGGAGGTCTCGGAGACCATGACCTGTCGCCACCGTAGACTAAAGTTAACAGTCTGGGCGGTCTCAATAAAGTTGCTCAATCCCACTAAAGTCCACAATCTGGTGGCTAGGGGGGCATCTGAAGAATAAATGTTCAATGTTTTCTCGATGTCTCCAGCAGACAGGGCATCGGTTGAGACAGTTGACTCCACGAGATTGAAGGGCCACTACTGTGGGAAGTATGACTTTGAGGTATTGCCATATGAAAAATTTGAGCTTAGGCGGGACTTGGATATTCCAAGTCTTTTTCCAAATAATTAAGATAATCTTAATTAAACCAATTTGGAAGACCAAATATCCACCCCACTTCAAAAGCCCATTTATATGTAAGAGATCAAACTTGCTTGTGTATCATTGGTTAGTCAAACCCATTAAATGCCAATAAAGCACACATTGAAGGCCTATAATTACTATTTACGAAACCTGCCATTGTCGAGTAAAGCTCTATCCCCATTAGAGCCATTGTAGGGCACCTAATACCATCAAATAAATTAGATGCCGGTAGCTTCCAATCAAAAGGTCAACAAAGAAAATAATTGAGCCGACCCACATGAATAGGGAATTATTCCCCTAATAACATCAAATGAATGATGATTTAAAAGCTCATAATGAAGCTTTAGTCGTCCGAAACGGACGAATACCTCCAATAAATGGAGTTTTAATTCTTAACGAAGGGAAATTGAATGCAGGATCGGCCGAACAAAGCCAGTGGCCGGGTAACTCTCTGCTGCGCAGCAACGACTCGAGCCTCTACAGCTTCAACTCATGCTTGAACCGGTTGATGAAGTTGCATCTCCAGTAATTGGACCTCAAGTAAAAATGAATTAAAGACTAAAATACCAATTCTATTAAATAGATATAAAGGAAAATTAAAACTCAAACACGTCAAACAATTTAAAAGCCTTAACAGTGAAGACACCAGCAGTAAAAGACCCCTTAATGGCAGGCAGTAAAAAGTGGGATGTTAATTAACATTAATGAGAGGTAGTTAGGTGAAACGGTACGTCGGCACCCACCCCAAAATTTTGGCCACCGATCTCGCATCTCACTGGAGTCTCCGGGAAAGACCTTGTGGTCTCTGGCCTGATTAGCAGAGAACAAACCACAAACTCATCCAACAAAAAATCAAACAAGAAGGTGTATTACCGGCCGGAAGTGAAATCCGGTGAGAGTTTTCTAAACCAGGAACGGCGCCGGATTCGGGTGCCCGCATCTGGTGACACTCTAGAATGGTGCCTCGACAGATCGCAGAGTATCCTGGTGTTGTGGTGTACGATTCATGGAAGGAGGGACGCTGGAGGATGTGGTGGCGGAACGGGCCAGGCTGACCTAACAGAAGCCCAAGGCAGAGCAGAGACAGCCGGAGGGGAGAAGCGACTATGGAAAGCTGGAAATCGGCAAGGCTGAATTCCCCGGACTGCGTCTCAATGTCGAAGTCGCCTTGGTCCTTGACTTCGGCGACGACGCCTTTCTGCCTCCAGTCGATGGAGTCCCGGGTGGGTTAGTCAACCCCTTCAACTCTGTTCCTCGCGAAATCGATCCCCTGCCGCCTCAGCAGCTCGATGGAGTCCGGCGCGTGGGAGTCGCGATCCACGTCAAAGTCCCTGAAATTGAACTCCCAGATGAACCTCTGCGTCGCTCCGGTTCCCAGATCCGGTAGGTTGCCGGCGAAATCGGAGAGGGCCAGGCCGACCTGGATGAGATTGAGCGCGTCGACGTTGGATTTCAGGAGCTTGTAGTGGTCGGAGGGGTTTTGGTGGCGGTCTGCATCTCTTCTGCAGGCTACTCGATCACGCTTTGCGTAAAAAAAATCTCAAAACATTGATTATATCTTATAGAAAGAGCTTCTTCAACCAGGTAAGAAGGGCATTTTACCTGAAATTATTATATCTTATAGAAGTGATTAATTGTGAAATGAGACCTCAAGTAACATTTATTCAAACATTAAATATTAAATTGTATGTGTGGTATAGTTTAGATAAAATACATGTGTGTAGCCAAAACATGGGTCTTCGTGACATATATATAGTAACTTTTTATGACAAATCTACACATAAAATAAAGATATATTTGGCACTATGATGAAAAAAGAGGTTCGTAGAATCACTCTCAGGCCACGAAATTTAAAAGAAGACTCTCATTTTCCAATTTTATCATTATATTATGTATAGATTTGTCACAAAAAATGCTATACTCGTTACAAAGGTCCATGTTTTGATTACACTTTTGTAGTTTGTCTGAACTAAACTAAACTAAACTAAACTAAACTAAACTAAACTACACATACAATTTAATATTAATTTTTGAATCAATACTACTTGAGTTCCGATTTCAGAACTAATCTCATTCTATAAAATATAAATAACTTAAAGATAAAATATAAATATAGAAGCATCATCACCAAACATATTCCTAGAGTTTAATCAAAGAAATAACAATAAATATAATGTAGCCTAGTTGGTTATAATGCTCTTTCTTCATTTAATTGATTCAGGTTCGAACTCAAATTATAACATTTTTAATATATAAAGATAAAGTGGGAGCAATGACAAAAATGACCTTCCTACAATCACTCTCAGACCACAAAATTTGAAATGGGAGAATTCCAACCAATGTTTTGACTTGCAGATATCTTGCAGATGGAAAAAAGAACTGACCTTACGAGTTACCATACGCATGCATATATGTAGAGAGGAGACACGGGCTAGAAAGTAGAAAGTAGAAAGTAATTAAATATCATGTTAGTTAACTAACTTTGATTTGCAACGTGAATACTTTATTTTATAATGGAAAACAAAAATAGGTTGGAAAACTGCCAATTTGGGGGCAAACGCGCGAGGCCAGGCGGGTTTTTGTAGCCAACGCATAAACTTGAAAAGTATGACAAATCCAAGTTGATTGTGCGTACATAGTTGTCCAAGTATGTGTAATCTCAAAAAAAATATTTCAGAAATAAGGACAACATTAAAATAAATGTATTTTGTTATCCTCCTTACGTGTTCTCCAACCTATGAATTTGTTAGTGTTTTTCAGCGAGAAACTGGTTTTGAACAGGCAGTGAAGATATCATAGTTAGAGATATCATAATGCACAACCCTAGTCTTTTTCAATAATTGGAGTTGCTAAAAAATGAAACATAATAGGTATTACATCGTTCTCTTACACCAACTAATTAGAGATATCATAATGCACAACCCTAGTCTTGCTAACGTGACCTATAACTAGATAGCTGCGAAACTTGTTATCTAGTTTGATCCATGAAATGAACCATCAATAGGCATTTACGAGGGCCAACAATTGGAGCTTCTGAATGCCGGATTCTACTTCAAAGTCAATTCAATGATATCTTGAGTTACGATAAAGACGTTGAACTAACTTTAGGGGGATAACGATTATGTCGTTCATGGTTTACTCGCTTATCGCACCGCTAATCGATGGTTAACAATATAAGCATTAACTGCTAAGGAGAATGCACACACATCGTTTAACAGAAGCTCAAAATTCCTTATTGGGTTACCAAGTCATAAACTGTTAATAACCGATGGTTGGCGGTTAACTTATAAAAATAATTAACCTCTCGAAAGAGGCAAAATGCCACACTCAACGAAGGAAACAACTTACCCCTGTACTCAATGACTCCAATATCCACATCTTCTCGGCTCAAACGAAGAACGAAGGACGGTCAAAGAGGTTGTGTCGTGAACCAAGAATTGCTTATCGTCGTGCTAAGGACCCTCTTTGGTGGCTTTCCCATTAGATTGACACGAGGATGATCGAGAGAGAAGCGACGATGGCCGACCTCGATGTTGTCGCCGCCCTCAACCCTCCTCTTATGTTTTACTTGGACAGAGAAGAGGTGGCGGCTAGGGTTCGATTGTTCGAGACTTGAGAGTGAAGGAAAATAAGACTTGTATTTTCTTCTATTCGTTAGTTCACAGAGAAAGTGGATTTATGTTTGGATCTATAGAGGAAAAAGAGAGGCGAAAAGACGAGAATGAAGAGAAGAAGGGAGTGTGCGGCTAGAGTTTTTCGTGCCCATCACTTTACTTTTATATATTCACTAAAAAAAACAATCATCCCCCTTGCCTTTTGTCAAATTCACGAACCTACTACCATTCTTTGTTTTAGGAGAATGGGCGATTAACCGCTAAAATAACAGCTAATCGCATCAACAGTTAACAATTATCCGCTGAACTTTGACAGATTGACTAACGATAATGATATTTTGGTTGGCAGGTAACCTCTAACCAGCCTGACTATCGCCCCTAACAACCTTCATTAAAACTCAGACCTTGAATCGAAATTCCCTTAAAGCAATCTATTTAACCATTAAGTATGCCTTTGACGAGTTTAGTTTTTCATATAATCCAATACCCAAAGCACTAAAACAAAGTTGTTGATTGGTGAATTATAAGGTACTCGATGCTGAACTTGTCCCCATTGCACCATTTGGTATAGAATTTTTTTTCTTAGGTTGCGTTAGAGTTAACGTATTCGCCAATAACATATTCGCCAACATATCTCTCTAGGGATTTCCTACTGTAACTTGAAGTAAGGTAACTTGAATGTTTAGCTGCTATGGCAGGTTTTACAGGTCTCATTACGTAAAATACAATAGGCCTTACGTAATGTTTACGTAACATATGGTAATCTTACATAACAGTTGTAAAAGATTATTACGGAATTACGTAATAGAATGTGTCTTTACGTAATGATTATTAAGCTCGAGTTACGTAAAATGCTAAGTCATTATGGAAGCCTTACGTAACACTACTGATTTAACTGTTACGTAAGAAATAATTGTCGTTCCGTAACTTTTACGTAATGGAAGGACTTTTTACGTAATGAGTATTAACCTCGCGTACGTAAAGTGCTAAGTCATTACGGAAGCCTTACGTAACGCTTCCAATTTAACTGATACGTAAGAAATAACTATCGTTATCTAACATTTACGTAATGAATGTGTATTTTACGTAACAGTTGTAAAATATCTTTACGGAAGCCTTACGCAATGGAAGGTCTCTTTACGTAATGAGCATTAGCGTCGTGTTACGTAAAGATCTAAGATATTACGGAAGTCTTACGTAACGCTTCTAATTCAATAAGAATTAAAAAAAAGGAAAGAATAAAATATGGAAAACAACTAAATTTGAAACAGAAAGAAAAAGAATGGTAAGTTGTGTAGTGGTGACCGGCAACCCCAGTTGCAATTTATTTTCTTACTTCTTTTTTTTTATTTTTTATTCCTTTAATCAATGGTTTAAATTAAGTTTGATAGATTTTAACGGTTTAGATCTATACAAGTTACCTAACATAAAATTATACCCAAGTTACCGTAGGAGGTCCCATCTATCTATCTACTAACTATCTAGTGTTGTATTGTATTGTGGAATACCGATCCTGTTAATTTTCTTTTTCCTATATATCGATGTATTTTTGGAAATATAAAGCCTATTCGATTTGTATTTTTCAGCATTGGGCACACTATTTATCACCTAGAGGCTGCACCATTGTAAAAAGTAAAAACAGCAATTATATATTTTGACAATCATATTGTTTATGCCAAGGAACCCGACGCCCCCGATGAACAAGGCGCCCCTCCTAATCTGGACTCGTCCTCGCCTCGCGCCTCACTCCAGCACACGAAGACGCCCACCGAACCCCTTACTTGGGGCTCGTTGGCACTCCGACGCCCAAGTCAGAACAGTCTTTTTAGAGAGAGAAGTGAAGTGTAGTTTTAGAGAGAAGTTCGAACCTGAGTAAATGAGCTCTACCAACTTCACTATTTATACCCCGGGTAGGGTCGACCACTGCCCCCCAAATCCGCCCTACGTCATCACCTCATTAAATGCATTGTACCTTACCGATGCCATGCGCCCCGACATTCTGACATCAGTTCTCGACCCCGAGGCGCATGACCCCACATTCTATCCCCTCCGTACGTTCCTGGCCGTTGCCACCTTTGTCGTTATGCGCCTTATGTCATGCTCGGTCCCACCACCTAGGTTACAGCCCCCAGCCCCTTTTGGGCTGGGCCTTCCCCTTGCCAGGCCCGCACTTCTGGCCCACTTCGACTCCCTGGGCTCCTCCTTTGGGCTTCCTGCATGCCCCCCAACAATTGCCCCCCAGTTAGGCGTCTGCCATTTGGTAGGGGCCTAACTACCCTCAGCGTCCCGTGAAGCGCCTCCGGGCCCTGATTCATGCCCTTTTTCCATTTCTCTCCTCGGAAGCGCGCGCTTCGCCTGGAGTCTCCTTACCCGCCACTCGTTTTCTTCCCGACTGCCGCCGTCCGTGGCTCGTCTCTCTCCTCCTCCGCTGCCTTGCGCGTCATGCCACCACTGAGCACCTACACTCCTCTCATTATTTACTCCCCTCCTCCTTTCTTTTCCATTTCTCCATTGTTAATTAATTTTTTATTTTTCTTTTTACGCTTTTTTCTTTTTCTATTTATTGCGGGTGGACCGGTTGGCTTCCGCCTTGCCCATCGGCCCATTCTCTCCCCCCCTAGGCTGAAGCGAATTCAAATTTCTAAATTTGAATTTGCCTCCGCCTAGGCGACGGTTCGCCTCCCTCGCTTTGCCCTCTCTCTCCCCCTTTTTGGCCTATAAATTGCCCCCTGCTTCTTCCTTACTCATTCTGCCAAAACTCACTATCTCTCTACTTCCTCTCTCTAACTTGCTCTGCTCTGCTCTCAAGTGACCCGCGTGCACCCTCGGCCATCCTCTCGTCCATCGCTACTAGGGGCCTCGCGCTGTTGTGAGATTTCCTCCCCCACCATCCACGCTCCTCCTGCCATGGCTTCCACAAATCAACCCGGGTCTTCCAAAGCCGCGCCTTCCAGTGCCCCCGCCGCGCCTTCCGACGCTCCATCCGCGCCTTCTATCGTCCCGCCACCGCCTCAGGTACTCCCCGATTTTTGCTTGGAAAATTACGGACCGCCCTTTACTGACGCGCCTTGTGGTCACACGTCGCGCCTCACGAGGAGCAAGGAAAAAATATCATTCTTATCTTACGCCTTTCATGAGTGTAGGCACCGGCGCGCCTCGAGAACTCGGGATAAGCCAATGGGGCATCATGTGGCCGCCTGGGTATATGCCCACTGACATTGACCTGATGTCCGAGGCAGACGCCGGGCCGCCGCATACGTCCAAAATCCTGTATAGATGCCCGCAGACTGCCAGCAGACTGGCGCTACGCGCACCCCTCTCCCATCGCGCGCGTGGGGGTTTGCGGAGAGGGTTTGATCGGCGTGTACCAAGAATACGCCCGTTTTGGGCTCCGCTTCCCCATCGAACCAGTTCTTGAAGGCATGCTCCATCTGTGCTAGTGTTCGCTAGGGCGCCATTCTCCCGTCATCATCTTGTATACAGTGCTCTTTCGCCTCAAGTGCCGTCAACAAAACATCCTTCCTTCCTTCAAACTTTTCCGCCATTTTTTCGTTATGGTTAGAAGCCCCAACTGCTTCAGCCTGCAAAGGCGCCCCAAACTTGGGTACAACTTCATTAGCCACTGTAAGAAGATGGGGTGCTCATGGCTTGAGTCTTTTTTCTTCGTCCGTCCGCGCGACACGCCTTTCTTCGAGAGCGACGCCGCGCCCCTAACTCAGTGGTCCTTCGGAGATGAAACTGAGTTCAATCATCACCCCGACCTCAACAAGGAGGAGGAAGACATGGTGCGGCGCCTCGCGTCTGCGGCCCTAAACCTTGAAATAAACGACAAGTATGCTCGTCACTTAGCGGAATTCAACGCCGATGGTAGTTTCATGCGCCTACTCTCATGCACTTGTCACCCGCTTATGCGCCCGGCTGACACACACATTTTTTTTTCTTTTTCAGGCACAGTGTTCACCTCCTTCTCCGACCTCATTCGCTCGAAGATCAATCTCATCTCCCCTGCGCCTTGCGCACGCGGCAAGACCAGCAAGGCTCCCGCCGCGCCGTCACAGCCTCCACGCAAGAAGCCTGTGCGTGTGAGGATTGCTTCCTCGCCCGCCGAGCCGGTGAACCGCGCACCTTCCTCTGCTACCACCGAGCCACCCCAGCCATCATACAACTCCCACATCCACATTGACGACGAGTAAGGCGCCTCCCAATCTCAACAGAGCCAGGGCGCCTCCCGCTCCCTCCAAGATCGAGGCGCCTCTCACTCGCTCCACCTCCCAGACTCTTACGAGCGCCTCCCAGTCCCAGGCGTCGGAGAAGAGGCCTGTCGAAGAGCCACTCCTCTCGGCCGAGAAAAAGGATAAGTTGTTCCGGGTGATCGCCTCAGGCGTGCCGGCCAGCTTGGTGATGCCGAGCGTGGGGGAGCACACAGGGGAAGACGTTGCCCCCGTATTTTCAGCCTCCTTCCCGACCATTGGAGAAGGTTGTTGTAGGTGTGCCCGTCAAGGCTGCCAAGGATCCCAGCGCCACCATGCAGATGGTACTATCACACGCTGCGGTGATCGAGCGCCCCGGCCATCTCAACTCCAACCGCCCCCTTCGCACCACGGCCAACCTCTCCGTTCAGGTAAGGCACCTGTCTCTTTAGCTTTCTAGGTTTCTAACTGAGCCTCCTTTCAATATGCCTAAGTCGATAACCTTGTTATATTGTGTATGTGCCAGATGATGATGCTGATTGAATCCACCCCGCGTGAATTCGATCGGATCGCTAAGGAGAGTTTGGCCTCCGACGGTACTGCTGGGCGCCTCCGTAGTGAGCTGGACGCCGCCCTTGAGACGCATGAGGCTCTGACCAACGCCTGGGAAGAGGCACAGAAGGAGGCCCAGGCTTGGGCAGCTAAATTATCGACCGGCCTCGAGGCGGAGCGCGAGAAGATAAAGGCGTCCGTCGAGAAGGAGTGCCAGGAGCGCTGCGAAGCGCAAACCGCCGCTACACAGGCTGAGATGGCAGAGGTGGAGCGGAGCCTGCACGAGAGGCAGACGAAGTTGATTGAGGAGCGTGACAAGTATCACGCGTAAGCGGAGCGGCACCGTGGTGATGCACGAGGGTTCTCGGATGAGCTAAAGAGGGCTACTAAGGCCAAATACCAGTACCAAAAAGAGCTGAAAGGATCCCAGGCTGAGGCGAAGCTCCTCAAGAAGGATCTCGACGTGTACCACAAGTCGGAGGTGGGGAAGAACCTCCAAGCGGACACCATGATCGACACGGTGAAGATCCTTCAAGAGAAGTTCAGCCAGGATCAACCAGAGGTGCAGTGGGACTCCATGGCCCTGATCATGCATATCCTCAACTTCATGGACAGCGGCCGCAAGACAAGTGAGCTGGAGCCCATTGTGGGGTTGGACGTCCCACCTCCAGCCACCGATGAGGCGCTTGAGGAAGAAGAGGCGGAAGGTGTGGGAGATGGGGGCGTTGAGGGTGACGAGGGAGATGGGGATGAGAAGGAAGAGGGCAGGGGGATGAAGTAAGGTGCTCCGCCGAACCACAGGGGACGCTCGAGGGTGCATTTCGGAGTGAGGAGGAGTGATCGGGCGCCCTCTTTATTCGCCTGTTTTTCCACCTACTTGTTGCTTTCCCTTTCCTTCGTTGTAACCTCGTGAACTCTTAACTTAATGAGATCTGGATAAGTTTGAACCACTTTACGTCGCCTTCTTTATGTGTCTCTTGTTGCGGGCGTGAGTACATAAGGCGCTTACTTAACCCCACCCTGGTGCATATTGCTCCTCGGGAGTTAAGCAAAAACTTGACTGCACCCCAGTTATTCGTAAGGGCGCGTCTGGGAGGGCATTACACGGAGGGCGCATTGGGTTCGGGTCCGAACAAAACATTTCTCAAGGGACACATTAGGGCGCGTAGTGAAGGGTGCTTTACGAAACCGACTTGTGAGGGCACATAGTGGGGGCGCATTGTAATAATTGCAGACACAATTTCAAGGCGTGAAAGTAGGGCGCTTTACGAAACCGACTTGTGGGGCGCTTAGTGGGGGCGCATTGTAATAATTGCAGACACAATTTCAAGGCGCGAAAGTAGGGCGCTTTACTGCAAACGTTGTCATAATATTAAGGCGCAAAAGTAGGACGCTTTACAGTACATGTCCTAATCCTATGGTGCAAAACGAGGGCGCTTTACGATCACGCTTCTACGGCGCGTGGGTGGCGCGCTTGCAGTAATAGTAATTCCCCTTACACATAACCAACTTACCCTTGAATACTGGCCAAAATGTGGGCGCCCCTCTCTGTGATGCAGCCGCGTCACTCAGAGATCTCCCCTGCCTCTGTCCTGTGGTACACTTTGAGGTTCTGCGCATACCATGTTCGCTTGATGGCCTTTCCTCCAACGCGCTCCAACTTGAATGTGGCCGGCCCTACCACCTCCCGGACACGATACGACCCCTTCCACTTGGGAGCGAGCTTTCCCACACTAGGCTTCCAAGACATATCTTATGGGGACGCATCTTACGATTGTAATATTTGGCCACCTGTTGTTTCATGGGCTCGAGGCGCATGGAGGTAATGTCTCTGCGCTCCTCCAGCATGTCGAGGTCGTGTATGCGCTCTCCCCCATTGCCCGATTCATCATATCATGCCGCCCGATATGTGGGAAAGCGCACCTCCACCGAGATGACCGCCTCGCTACCATAAGTCAATGCAAACGATGTTTCCCCTGTCGCCACCTTGTATGTTGTCCTATGCAACCAAAGCACTCCCGGGAGCTCTTCGACTCATCTCCCCTTGGCTTCGAGTAACCTCGTAGGAAGTCCATGTAAGAAGCTCTTGTTCACGCTTCTGCCTGCCCGTTGGCTTGGGGGTAAGCCACTGAAGAGAAGCGCAAGACAACGCCACTTTCGTCACAGAACTCAATGAATTGGAGGCAATTGAACTGTTTACCATGGTCAGCTACGATCGACTCAGGCAGCCCGAACAGAGAGAAGATGTTCCTAGTCATAAACTTTCTGACCTGAGCGTGGGTGATGGCTGTCAGGTGCTCCGACTCCCACTTTGAGAAGTAGTCCACTGCCACAATAAGTTACTTCATCTGACCGGGCGCCTTAGGGAAGGGCCCTAGTAAATCCATCCCCCATTGTGAGAACAGTTATGCGCCCACATTGCCCTGCATAGGTGCTTGCGGGACGTGCACGTCATGGGCATGAACCTGACATTGATGGTAGCTTTCCACATGCTTCTTGGCGTCTTTTCTGATGGAGAGCCAGTAGTAACCTTGACGCAACAGCACCTTCTCGAGACTCCTTGCCCCCGCGTGCATGCCGCCGGCGCCTTGGTGTACCTCCAATATAGCTCTTTCTCCCTCTGTCTCCGTGAGACACCTCAGGTAGGCCCCCGAGTGCGACCTCTTGTACATCTGGCCTTCTAAAATCGTGCAACGGGCGGCCTTGCGCCTCACCTGCCATGCCTGCCTTGTATCTTCAGAAACCGTCCCATGAATCAAGTATGCCTTGATCGGGGTCATCCATCCCTCCTCCT